TGAACCTACGGGCCAAGGAAGGGTATTGAGAGGGTTTCACAGAGGACCCTGGGTCTCCATTTAGCAGGTCCCCATCACTGCTGCACAAGTTGATGGACTGTAGGAGAGCAAGAGTGGCCACCAAATGAAGAGGCCACCACATCTACCAGGGAAGAAATGATGGCAGCCTGGCCCAAGGCAGTGGCCTGGTGGTGGATGACAGCAAGAAGAGTTTAGATTTATTCTGGAAATAAAATTAATATCTCTGACTGACAAATTAGATACAGAGAGTGAGGGAAAAAGAAGAATCCAGCAGACTGTAGAGCTCGACAGATCCAAATTCAAGTCCCAATTCAGCTCTGTGACTCTGGAGATGTAATTAACATTCTCTACAACTCAATGTCATCACCTGTTAAGATGGAATTTGAAAGACGAATAGTGTTATTGTGGGGAGCAAATAACGTAACACATATAAAAAATTAGTCCACTGGCTTTTATGTGTACGTTTGTTCTCAATAGATGTTAACTATCAGTACTTTTTTTCATAGAGAGTAGGCTGCCTCAAAGCTGGGAGTTCTCCATTATTGAGGATGTTCAAGCATATGTTGAGGGGTTACTTGACTGAAGTGTTAATAAAGTGGCAAAAGTGTATCATGAAAGCTTGAACTAAAAGCTTTCTGTAATCCCTAGATTTGATCCAATTGTATCATGGTAGAAACCCAGCTCTGCTCCTAGGGGGAAGATGGCAAGGAATAGTGGTGCTTATAGCCACACTGGCCATAACAATCATGTTGGTGGGGAATCCAACATGAAAAGTTGGAAGGTCCAATGTTTGAGCCATTAGTCATAGAACTGAATAACACCAGGACAAGGAAACCCTTCCCTGGCTAATGTTGAATTGGCCATAAGATACAAGAGGTGTCTTTCCACCTCAGATTTCTGTGATTCTAGAGAAAGTAAAGACTCTTCACCAGGAAAGCAAAGGCCAGATCGCTTTCTGAGAGTACAAATTTAGATTCTCTGAGGTCCTTCCTTCCTCCCTTTCTTTTTCTTTCTTTCTTTCTTTCTTTCTTTCTTTCTTTCTTTCTTTCTTTCTTCCTTCCTTCCTTCCTTCCTTCCTTCCTTCCTTCCTTCCTTCCTTTCTTTCTTTCTTTCCTTTCTTTCTTTCTTTCTTCTTTCTCTTTCTTAATGGCAAGTAGTCACAGCTATGAACTTAGCAAAAGAAGCAGGTTAAAATTTCTCCATTCTTGGCTAATGCAGTTAGACGTCTTCGAGAAAACGCAATGAGAAGTGGTCATTATCCATTATCTGCATGAAATATTTCAGAGAAAGCAGCAGCATTTGCCAAAAAAAAGAAAGAAAAAAAAAAAGAAAAGAAAAGATGTTTGACTTCAGGCCAGGCAAGAAGGGAACAAGATCACCTTCTCACTCCGTGGGATGGTCGTGCTAATGATGTTATTTCGAGTAAAATGGGAATATATGTCTAAAACAATACAGATGGTGCTTCAGCTTCATATACTTTCTGAAGGTCGTTCTAGACAATGATTCACTGTCCTTTTTCTTGAGGGGGGGAGAAAAAAAGCACTCCAAACTTTCCGGAAAGAACTGTGTATGCGTGAGTGTGTTTCTATGTCCCTGTGTGAGGAAAATGTATAGAAAATCAGGATGTGCATTTTTCCGAAAATGATTGCTACCACTTGAAAAGCCAAAGCCTGAAAATCTTAATTTGATAGGAAAGCCTCAGTCCTATTGTGTAGTTTCTTTGTCCCTGTTTCATTTCACTTTGTTTTATCCCCTCCTCCTGATTTATGGCTCTCTTGGTGTGAAACTAATATAAGGATAATGACTTCTAAACTGGAACTACCAGAAAGCTGATGAACTAACCCCCTTTCTAACCCTCCTCCATGAATATTTTCTCCTTCTGCTTTTTAAAATTGTCACCAGGATGTTTCCCAATAATACTATACACTGAACTGATATTCTAGGTAGCTAAATACAGAGCATTTTTCTAGACCTTCTGCTTTGAGCATTAGTCATTTCTCTTCAGTGCAAAGCCCAAGGCATCCAACAAAGACCTTTCCCCTTGGATGGTGGGTTGCTTTATTTCTTGAGGACTGCAGACATGATCATTATGGGTAATGACCTAATAACTCGCTATTCAATGTTTGCACATCACTTCTACGGAAGTTCCCAGCACACATACCACAGGCTCCTTGTAGGAATGATTTAATGTTAAGTAACAAACCCCAAGCTGGAGGAAGCTCTTTTCTTATGCATGACACATGCAAAGCTGGTTCATATCTCATGCAAATATCATCTAAAAGCTGTTGGCTCAGAATAGGATCTAGGAATAAAAAGGTGCCAAAACCAACTGATGTCAGCCGTCTGTGGGTTCAGGTGGGAGGTCAGGATGTGAGGTATTTATGAAATGCCTAGAACAGGCCCAGGAAGTTGGGAGGTTGTCCTCTCGCCTTGGTGTTTTCCATACTTTATCATGTTTAACCCTCCTATCTTTCCTATGAAGTAGACGCTGTAATGATTCCCATTTGTATATGAGGACACTGATCCCCTGAACATTTCAGCAGCTTTCCCAAGATCACATTAAGAGTAGGTGGCAGGTTTGAACTGAGACCTGCCTGGTCCCACGGCCAGTGGACCATCCTATCTCTTCCTTAACTGGTCAGTCCTTCAATCAGTGACTTGTATTTTTCTCTCGCTCAGTGCTTCCCAGCGTCAACTGGGAGCAATGGTCTAAGCATCAGGCATTTCATCTTTTGGTCCTTGGAGAGGAAAGGGGCTGGGCCTCTCAAAGACGTATATTCTCTTTTCACAAAGCCTGTACCCACACGCCAGGAGGAACACAGGCAGAGAGAGGCAGATTGCTACATACCTTGCTACCAGCTAATAGTTTTGCAGTTCACCACAAGACTTCTCCACCATCGTTGAACATAGGAATCCCCCGGGAATCTTGTGAAGCGATTCCTCTTCCCTAGGCCTGGGCTGGGGTTGAGAGTCCACATTTCTAACGAATTCCCAGCTGCGATTGCTGCTGCTCCAAAGACAAATCTTTGAGTAGCGAGGGTTCACGAGTCACTTTCTCTTCCATTTCCTTCTGTGTCCCAGGGAGGTAGGCAGGCTTGGGATTGTCACACCTACTCACCGATAAGGAATCAGGGTCAAAGAACTGGTAGGTAAAAGCACCAGCAGAGCATGCCAGATCTTCAAACTCTTTGCCTCCCCTGACTTCCTGGCCTCAGAGGTTGCAAATGGATGGGTCCCAGACATATTTGGTTTCATCTACCCCGTGTGGCCAACCGAAATACCTGGCAACCCTAAGCCCCCCCATGGCCAGTCCTTTCATAGCTGCTAGATTCTTTACTGTGGTATAAGCTTTCCACCGCCCACGGCTCCTCCGGATCTCTCTATCTGGCTGAGTGAGCGCACTACTTACCTTTGCAATGGAGGATTGTTTTTCTTCCCTCTGGCCTACTTTGCCCACTTGAATTACCTTCCCACCTCCAGTAATGCATGGCCTTCCCGTGACGTCTTTCTCCCCAACCGCAGTGTCTAACCTCTCTCCATAACTCCTCTGTCTATTGTCGCTGGCCTTTGGAGAACCACCGTGATGGACGTTCCGGGGCAGTTTGACTGAGCTACCTTGCATGCAGTAGGTGCAGAATAAATATTTCTTGATTAAACAAATAAACAGATGAACCACCAAGGGATGACGGCACATCCCCTTCCACTGGTACAAATCCGCTCAGTCCTTTTTTTGCTGACGGCAAAGATGTGGAGAAAGACGCAGAGCATGATTAGAAAGCAGCTTCATGGTCCAAAGTGCTAGGAGGATGACTCAAGAAAGTGCCCACAACAAGAGCGTGTTAACTAAATGGACGGTTTCTGGTTCCACACGGACCCCACCTGATGTGCATCGCATCGCACAAGTAAAATGTTCCCATTGACTGAATGGTGTGCAGGAGGTGTTTATAAAAGAGATGCTGTTGTTCTTGATGACCTTCCAAAACCTCTCGGTCCATCTCTAGAGAGCACTTATGGGCTCAGGAGAAGTCCCCCTGCCGCTGCCCCCAGCCCACCTCTAAACAGGGATTTCTGGGGCGCCTGGGTAGCTCCGTCAGTTGAGCGTCTGACTTCAGCTCAGGTCATGATCTCACAGTCCATGAGCTCAAGCCCCACCTCAGGCTCTGTGCTGACAGCTCAAAGGCTGGACCTTACTTCAAATTCTGTGCCTCCCTCTCTCTCAGCCCCTCTCCTGCTCAGACTCTGTCTGTCTCTCTCTCTCTGTGTCTCTCAAAAATAAATAAACATTAAAGAAAAACAATTTAATAAAAATAAAATAAACAGGGATTTCTATTTGTTTCGTTCTGACATTCAGACAGAGGGAATGAGCCCTTCTCTCTTGACCTGTGCCTACAATCACGTTAATGAGTCATGCGTAGTGTGGTGGGGATAAAAATCCGTATGTCGTGAATTTCACTTTGCCTGTTGACAACTTTCCTGTTTAGAAAGGTGCATGAGCTTAGATGATGAGCCCAGGCTGCAGGGAGACCGAGCCTTGGCTCTTGGTACCCAGATTCTCAGAAAGTTTGACGTCTGTGCTCCGGAACAGCGTCAGGGATCCACGGCCCCCCAGCCCAACATCCTGAAACACAAAGCTTCGGATCTCCTCTGCACAGCCCTCCGACCGGACTTCGCTCAGGGCCTGGCCACCATCGGGAGGCGCGCAGTCTCCTTGAACAAGGTCCTCTTATCTCTTTACTCAGCCTGCCAACGAGAGTGCCAATTAGTGCCAATAATAATATACATATTAACAGATTTCTAGACCACAGTCACCAAAACACTAGAGACTCGTGACAGGGAGACCTTCCTCTGTGTCATCATTTAGCGTACCTACTGGGTACACGGCGAGCAATTCTTGCGATCCCTTCATTTATGTCCGCCCTGCACACTGTGGAATCTTTGTGTGATTTTAAACTGTCATTTAGTGGGGTAGATTGGCGAAAATGATCCTGTCACCACTGGGTATGTTTTTAAATGAGGTCTTGGTTGAATTCTGGTTTAGTTTTTGAAAATCAGCCTTCTTGAATTTTATATTCTTCTCGGGTTATAACTGTCCCACCTCTACTGCCACTTTAAAAACTGCCAGTATTTTTACAGTAAACACTCTTTTGTGGATTTTCAATGCAACTACAAAAATGTTTGCCTGGCAAAAAAAACTTTGCTATCTAACATCATGCAACCCATGAATTATTTTGCACAATTTCATGTAAATCATTCTGAACAGACATTTTTGAAACAATTCAGGTGGCAATTTAAAAAAATATCTCTTTTGTTTTTTAACCTTTGCTATAAGAGGAAATTTCTAAAATTTAAGAGTTTATTTCTGAATTTTACTGACATACATAATAGGGTAAAAAGTTCGTAGCATATAAAATATATTTCTCCAGGGACATTTCTCCCTTGTTTTTTTTTTTAAGGTTTATTTATTTATTTTGAGAGAGAGAGAGAGGAGGGGCAGAGAGAGAGGGAGAGAGAGAGTCCCAAGCAGATTCTGCACTGTCAGCGCAGAGTCGGATGCAGGGCTTGATCTCACAAACCGCGAGATCATTACCTGAACTCAAGTCAAGAGTCAGATGCTTAACCGACAGAGCCACCGAGGCACTCCCATTTCTCCTTAGTAAAATCAAGAATTCAGGGAAAGACCACCCTCCTATTTGTGGAACCTGTATCCTGGAACAGCTGATAGACTATCTTCATGGAAAAATTAGTCCGTACTTTCTAAGTTCCCATGTGTGAGTCTCTTTTGAATAGAAGTCTGCTCACATTATGGATGAATTTTCTGACACTTTGCAGTCTTGATGCTTATTTTCAGTCTTCCTACTTAAAAGTTTAAATTCACAGCTCGGGGATTTCTGGCGACAAGAACATTGGTGGCTGTGTTGGTCTGAAAAGATGACCCCATTGAGAGGAGCGGGTCAGGGTGGTCATAGTTCACATCTGATCTATACTGGAGGTTAGGGGAGGGAGCTTTACCCATCATAGCTTCCAATTGCACCGTCAAGATGTGGAGACAGAGTTTGCAACCGGAATAATCCCTTTAAGTTGTATGATCTACGCATTCGTGTGCTCAGATAAATTTTTGGACACTGTTCCATGCCAGGCTTCAATCTGAGCGTTGGGGAAAGCGAGGTCTCCATGGGGACAAGCATTTCATCTTTATATTTAGACGGAGGGGACAATCAGCCAGTAGGAAAACAAGATGATCTCAGAGTGTGGTAGGTACTACAGGGATCTCGAGAAGTAGGTGGGTGTGGCCTGGGGTTACACAGAGAAGGGGAGACAGGGCGGGACAGCCTTCTGGAGAAGGAGTCCCGGAAACTGAGACCTGAAGGACGAAAAGGGACCACCACGCGAAGGTCTGGAGGAAGAACCCTCTGGAGCAGAGAGGTCTACAACTGCAAGGAGCCAAGTCACAGAAAGGATTGGCAAAGTCAGGAAGGAACAAGTAGGCTGTTATGCCTCGGGCATGGAGAGCAGGGTGAAGGTATGGAGTGATAACACAGGGTGGTGGACCCCAAGTCCGGCAAGCCCTATAGACCACGCTAAGGACTTGGATTTCATCTTGAGTGCCGCACAAAGACACTGCAGGAGTTAAAACCCGGCGATGTCACCACCCAAAACCTTATTCTTTCGACAAAGAAAATTCTAGCCGTTCCCTACAAAACGGCCTGGAGGAAGCAGAAGCAGAAGCAGGAAGCCCACTTACCCTAGCGAACAGTGGGGGTGGCACAGTCAGTGTGGTGGCCCCGGAGTAGAAGAGAAATGGTTTCTCGAGTCAGTCACTTAGACGTAGCACTGACAGGGTTTGCTCAGGAAGTAGCTGTCCTGGGGATGGGGAAAGCTTCATGTGGCCAGAGGGTGTCAGTGGCAAGGGATGAGATTAGAAATTGAGGTTGGAACAGGGGGGTGTTTGCCACCACAGAATTTGATCTTCAACCTGAAATCGGCAAGGAGGTTCCACAGAGAATGGTTCTTTTTATTGTGCCTTGGCATAATGGTGATCCAGTTTCTTTTGTTAAATGAGGATTCCTAAGAATAAACTTGCCACTCATCCACTTTACCAAGATTTACACATGATGCGATCTTATTAAACAAATCATCGATAGAGAGAGAGACAGCTCCTCGTTACACACCCAGATCACCCATATTCTGGCTGTCTTTCCTCTCTCTCATCAGCCGCTCGTGGCAAACAAAATCACTTAAGTCAAGTGAACGGTTTTAAATGTGTAATATCAAAACGTGTTTTCAGAAACTCCTTGGAACCCTCATCCGTCGTTAAAATATGTTCACTTCGACAGACGCTTTGGCCCTTTTTTTTAATGAAGCCTTTCAATGTGTTACCTTATCAGGTGCGTGAGATTTAGTCTGTCCTGCAGGAGAAAACAGACAAAAAGGGTCTCTCAGCATGAGTTACTCTTCTGTAAAGGTTATAGTAAACATGTCAATGCCTAATTAAGCAGAAAATTTTATCTGTATTGTGGGGGAGGCATTTGCTGTCTCTGACATTTCTTCTGGGGAATCCATTTAGAAGGACAAAGTAGACTGTGAAGCTGGGCTGGTCCGGAAAGCACAGCTTCCAGATGTCAGCAGGGAAAAAAAGCCAAAAACACTTATTTTCTCCTGTGTGAGAATGACTATATCGGCCGGGCCGATAATGGGGCGGGGGTTGGTGCGTGCATGTGCACACCTGTGTGCACACACACGTGTGTATATTTCATCAACACACACACACACACACACACACACACACACACACACACACAGTAACATGAATTGCTTCCAACCAAAAGCCAGGCCCTGTGCTACACACCGAAAATGGTGAGCCGAGTAAAACCTGGCCTGGCCACACTCTTAATCAGTTGTGGTGGCAGAAACCTCTTTTTTCCTCCTAGATTTTTTTTTCCACTGGTCTGTGGGTGTAGGCGTGTGTGTGTGTGTGTGTGTGTGTGTGTGTGTGTGTGTGTTGCTAAGGTCGTATAGCTCATAGATATGTAACTGTATGTCTCAGTTGGCCTGGAACAGCTCTGGCTAATGAGTGTCGTCCCAGATTTTGAGCAATAAAGCCCTTTTAATTCTCAAAAGTGACCCTGTTTGATTGATAAAATTTGCCTGTTGCTTTGGAGTATTTTGTTTGGCTCTGTAGCAACTCATTTATTCATTTTATAACAGGCTTTCTCCTTGAGCTTAATGATATGACTCACATACCAAATACTGATTTGCAAACATACAAATTAGTCCAGGAAAAAGAAAATGCAGTGGGGATGGGGGGGGGCGGGGGCGGGGGTGGTCTAATTTAGTCATTTAGTTCTTTTAAGCTAGGTTTTCTTGCAAGGAATGACCACTTACTAATGGCTGCTCAACTAGACTGAGTACCTTCTGTTTTCATCAAACCAATTTATGGAACCGGAGACCAGCAACACTAGTTTAATGAAAACCCCACTGGTCAGCTTGCTAGGAGAGCAGAAACAGAACAACAGTGACAATAATGGTCAAATCTAGAATGAACACAACCGCCAAGCTCATGGCTAAACCCAGTTTTTACATTGCGTCTTGTTTTGTGGTGCCATGTCCTTTAAATTGTGGGTTCTTGTCTCCAGCATTTCTGCCCTCCCAAGTGATTACCTACTTAGTGACATTTCCATAAAATGCCACTGCTTAACCTTTAACCTTTGGGTCTCCGCGAAGTTTTCTTATCCTTTAGGTTGGTCATAGAGAGTGGAGCGTAGTGGTTAGACCCACAGACTCTCTCATCAAACAGGCATGTTGTGACGCCGCCATACTAACTGGGTGGCCTTGGGCAAATTTCTTAACCTTAGAGCCTCAGTTTTCCCCATCCGTGAAGTGAAAATAATAATAGTTCTTCCATCGTGTGGGCAATCAGACAAAATGGAAGAAGGCATTTGCGGTGGTTAGCAGGGCTCCTAGGAGGTAGCGAATGCTCAATAAACATTTATCTTTAGCAGCCGCAGCAGGAGACTTTGGAGTTTCTGACTGGAGCTGCCTTATGCCCAACAAACCCCTTTGTCTTCTATTCTAACTCGCTCTGCCTGCCTGTGAGACAGACCTCCATGCATGATCACTCTTTTCCCAGCTTTCTCGCTGGTGAATGGGAACATGGCACCACCCTAGGGTTTCTCCCAGGCACCCACCTGCACTCAGACAGGAGAGAAGAGCACACCAGGAAAACATTGCACTGAGATCACACAAGCCTTGCAAACCTAAGACTGAATCTCCCTTGCTTTGGTCCCTCTTTAGTTGCATTTTATCCACGAGGCTCTGAAAAGGCCAGGTGAAAGAAATGAACACATGGGCATAAATAGTCACTTTCCCCATCTCTGTTGATGGATATTTGCCCATTAATTCCCTCTGCACCCGCTCTCTTGTGCCGCTCTCTCATGCCTTCATTTTCCCTATGCAATTACTGGCCCTAAATCCTCTCAGAGAAGGGAAGGCATGCATCCCCAATAGCATTTTGCATCTACAAATCAAACGTATAATTGGCATCTCATGACGGACACCCACAAATCACAAAGCATTTGAAATTACAGGCACAAGATCGAGAGGGCATTTTCAGCCTTGTCTGAAAAGGTCTTCATAAACCTGTTTGAGAATAATAAGATAGCCCCCAAATCTCCCATTCCAACACCATTTGCTATTATTTTAAAATCATTATGTTTGCCGAGCTTACGTAATTTTTTAGCTATCGACGGAAGATTTTATTCGATACTCCATAATCTCTCTTCCTGCCGTGTGACTCTCTACAAATAAAACTGTTATAACAAAAAGACACCGGCTATCAAAAATATAATGGCAGTGCATCTCAATTACCTACAAGCACTCAAATATGATTTATTAAGATCATTGTATGCCAGCATATCCAAGGCTCTCGGTAAACCTTACCACGGAGATGCCAAGGGTCAAATCTAGTTTTCTCGTGAGCCAACGTCCTTCTCCGTAAAGATCTGTTTTTGTAGGGTTGAATTCCATCCCAGCTTTCCTGAAAGTCGTACCTATGAATTTAGCCACGGTCTGACTATCAGAGCGCTAGGTATTCCCTAAACGTGAATGTTATTAACTTGGGACTCTAGGCATTTAAAAAGATCTGTGACTCCTGTCAGTTAAAAAAAGGCCTTAGATAGCACACGGGACACCATTTGGCTTTTCCCTGTGTCCGTGGTTTGCAGTTACTAAAAGCATAGATTCGCTCGCTATTCGATTCGGTATTGGAAGCACTCGCTCCAAGCGGGGAGACTGGGACGGAATATGGGACCTGCCACTATTATTTCATATCCTCCTCTACTTCTCTTGCAGGCTACGCCCAGGAGGAGCAGCTGAAGGAAGGAGAGGAAATAAAAGAAGAGGAGGAAGAGGAGGACAGTGGTTCGGTAGCTCCGCTTCAGGGCAGCAATGACCCGGGGACAGATGAGGAGCTAGAAACAGGCCCCGAGCAGAAAGGCTGCTTCAGCTACCAGAACTCTCCGGGAAGCCACCTGTCCAATCAGGACGTGGAGAACGAGTCTCTGCTGAGCGATGCCAGCGATCAGGTGTCGGACGTCAAGAGCGTCTGCGGTCGAGACGCCGCGGACAAGAAAGCCAGCGCGCACCCCAAGCCTCCCAACGAAAGCCACAACTGCATGGATAAAATGACCGCCGTCTACGCCAACATCCTGTCCGACTCCTACTGGTCGGGCCTGGGCCTCGGCTTCAAGCTGTCCGGCGGCGAGAGGCGGCCCTGCGACCCGCGCAACGGCAGCAGCAAGACCGACTTCGACTGGCATCAGGACGCGCTGTCCAAAAGCCTGCAGCAGAACTTGCCTTCCCGATCCGTGGGGAAGCCCAGCCTGTTCAGCTCAGTGCAGCTGTACCGGCAGAGCGGCAAGATGTGCGGGTCGGCATTCACCGGGGCCAGCCGGTTCCGGTGCCGGCAGTGCAGCGCCGCCTACGACACCCTGGTGGAGCTGACCGTGCACATGAATGAGACGGGCCACTACCAAGACGACAACCGCAAAAAGGACAAGCTGAGACCCACAGGCTACTCCAAGCCCCGGAAACGGGCTTTCCAGGATATGGACAAGGAGGATGCTCAGAAGGTTCTGAAATGCATGTTCTGTGGCGACTCCTTCGACTCCCTCCAAGATTTGAGCGTCCACATGATAAAAACAAAACATTACCAAAAAGTGCCTTTGAAGGAGCCAGTGCCCACCATTTCGTCGAAAACAGTCACCCCGGCCAAGAAGCGCGTCTTCGACGTCAACCGACCTTGCTCCCCCGACTCGACCACGGGCTCGTTTGCGGAGTCGTTCTCCTCTCAGAAGACGGCCGGCCTGCAGCTGTCGTCCAACAACCGCTACGGCTACCAGAACGGCGCCAGCTACACCTGGCAGTTTGAGGCCTGCAAGTCCCAGATCCTCAAGTGCATGGAGTGTGGCAGCTCCCACGACACCCTGCAGCAGCTCACCACCCACATGATGGTCACGGGGCACTTTCTCAAGGTCACCAGCTCTGCCTCCAAGAAAGGGAAGCAGCTGGTGTTGGACCCGCTGGCCGTGGAGAAAATGCAGGCTTTGTCGGACGCCCCAAACAGCGATTCGCTGGCTCCCAGGCCGTCAGGTGACTCTGCCTCTGACCGTGCGGCCTCTACAACCGAGCCGAAGAGAGAGAGCAAAAAGGAAAAACCGGAGGAGATCAGCAAGAACGAGAAAGTCCTGAAGAGCGAGGAGTACGAAGACGCTCTCCAGAAGCCGTTAGACCCTACAATGAAGTATCAGTATCTAAGGGAGGAGGATTTGGAAGACGGCTCCAAGGGCGGAGGGGACATTTTGAAGTCGTTGGAAAACACCGTCACCACGGCCATCAACAAAGCCCAGAACGGGGCTCCCAGCTGGAGCGCGTACCCCAGCATCCACGCGGCCTATCAGCTGTCGGAGGGCTCCAAGCCTGCCCTGCCCTTGGGATCCCAGGTCCTGCAGATTCGCCCTAACCTCACCAACAAGCTGAGGCCAATTGCCCCAAAGTGGAAAGTAATGCCACTGGTCTCTGTGCCCACCAACCTGGCCCCATACACTCAAGTGAAGAAGGAGCCAGACGACAAAGACGAGGTCGCGAAGGAGTGTGGGAAAGAAAGTCCCCAGGAAGAGGCCTCACCTTTCAGCCACTGCGACGGGGATGCTTTCTCCAAGAGCGAAACCCCTTCCGAGTCCAAGAAGGCTGAGCCTTGTCTCCTGAAGGAGGAGGCCAGGCTGGTGGAGGAGGGCGGCGAGCCCGAGAAACGCCCGCCCCTCGAGCCAGCGCACTCCCTCAGCAACGGGTGCGCCCTGCCCACGCGTGCCCCGGCCCTGCCATGCATCAACCCACTCAGCGCCCTGCAGTCCGTCCTGAACAATCACCTGGGCAAGGCCACGGAACCCCTGCGCTCCCCTTCCTGCTCCAGCCCAAGCTCAAGCACAATGTCGATGTTCCACAAGTCGAGCCTCGGCGTCATGGACAAGCCGGGCTTGAGTCCTGCCCCCACGCGACCGGCCAGCGTGTCCAGGCGCTACCTGTTCGAGAGCAATGATCAGCCCATCGACCTGACCAAGTCCAAGAGCAAGAAAGCCGAGTCCTCGCAAGCACAATCCTGTACGTCCCCACCTCAGAAGCACGCCCTGTCTGACATCGCCGACATGGTCAAGGTCCTCCCCAAGGCCACCACCCCAAAGCCCGCCGCTTCCTCGCGGGGCACCCCCATGAAGCTGGAAATGGATGTCAGGCGCTTTGAGGACGTCTCCAGCGAGGTCTCGACCCTGCATAAGAGGAAGGGCCGGCAGTCCAACTGGAACCCTCAGCACCTCCTGATCCTACAAGCGCAGTTCGCCTCGAGTCTGTTCCAGACGTCCGAGGGCAAGTACCTGCTGTCCGACCTGGGCCCTCAAGAGCGAATGCAAATCTCAAAGTTCACGGGGCTCTCGATGACCACGATCAGCCACTGGCTGGCAAACGTCAAGTACCAACTTCGGAAAACGGGCGGGACGAAGTTCCTGAAAAACATGGACAAAGGACACCCCGTCTTTTATTGCAGTGACTGTGCCTCCCAGTTTAGAACCCCTTCCACCTACATCAGCCACCTGGAGTCGCACCTGGGTTTCCAAATGAAGGACATGACCCGCATGGCGGTAGAACAGCAAGGCAAGGCGGAGCAAGAGATCTCGCGGGTGTCGTCGGCTCAGAGGTCTCCGGAAACCGTAGCTGGCGAAGAGGACACAGACTCTAAGTTCAAGTGTAAGTTGTGCTGTCGGACATTTGCGAGCAAACACGCAGTAAAACTCCACCTGAGCAAAACGCACGCCAAGTCACCCGAACACCACTCTCAGTTTGTCACAGACGTGGACGAGGAATAGCTCTTCAGGTATGGGTTTGCTCCCAGGTGACGGGACAGTAGCCTTGTGAGGAGCTTCTTGTTGGGAGGTGGGTCTGCTTAGAGGCAGCCCACGTCTCCCGGTACCAAGAGGACAGGAGCCTGCTGGAGTAGGACTTACTTGCATGAGACACTAGAACGCGATAAGTCCTAGCCGCTCTCCCAATGTCTCCAGATTAGAGTCGGTGAACAGACGGACACGAGTTCAGAGAGTTGGCGCGCGCAGATTTTACCGCCTCACGAGGCGTGATCCCCTTAGGGACCCCAAGGCCCTCCAGCCGAGGCTACACCTCACTTTAATTAATACGTACAGACCCCCACCCCCACCACCACCAGGGTCCCGTCTCACCCCCTCGCCTTCCCATAGCGATGCTGATGACGTAGGGAGTGAGTGAAGGCTGAGCAACCGAATGGGCGTTGCAGAGCTCCTGGGGGCAGCCGCTGTGCAGAGATTTCCTAATCGGCTCGTGGACTTTGCAATTATTGCTTGCAATCGATGCTTTTGGCAGCTTCCTTTCAGCGATCGCTGCTGATACCTGCCCCGCCCGTCCCTCTGTCTATCGCCTCTGTTAGGGTTGCTAGGAAAGGGCATCTGGCCTGTAGTCAGACGGCAGAAAAATATTCACTGCAGAACACTGGGGTGAAGAGAGAGGAAGCTTACTTTCTTCTCTCATCTTTCGGTTTTCTTTAGGATAGACTAATATGAGCGTCGACCCTTAACAAAGATAGATGCGCTGCATGCCCTCGAGAGTTTATTTTACCTAAACAAACAAAGGACTTTCCGAACGCCCATTGCCAATGCACATGGGGTCCCGCGGCATCCAGATAATTTGCATCATGTATCATAGAAGTTCTGTGCCTTGTATAGTCACTGGTGCCCAGACTATCTATGTCACCTCCAAGAAAGAGGACAGAGGCCAAGGTCAGATGCTTTGGCAATCTTGCCACACCGGCCGTGTCAACTGTTTTCAAGGCTGGGTCTTCATCCAATGCATTCATCTCTCTTTTTTGTATTTTGTCTACTTCCTTTTCTCTCCCCTTCAGCATGACCGGCCCCCCCACCCCCCGCCACATCACGGACCTCACATATTCAAGTTGTCCCCCCACCTCGGGCGCGCCCAAAGGCAGGGGACCCGACCTGTTTTCCCCAGCCTGGCACTTACCAGTCCAGATCAATATCATGGTGACAGCTTATCGGTTGCATTCACGGTAAGATCTGAACAATGATAATACTGTATCCACCCTCGCCACCCCCCCCCCCATCATCAGAGCCTTTGTTTTTACATAGGAGACTTTCAGATCGAGCCACAAAGGTATGAGCACTGGCAGACTTCCCAAGCGGAGGAAGGAGGATATTTGGTCTTGACTTTGGAGGCTCCCCCCCTCCGTCGTTAGGCTTGCCAGCGTGAGGATGGTCAGGATGAAAGAAAGGGTGGAAATCTGGGCCTGTCCCCTCAGTGAGAAGATCTAAGAGCTTCTGATAAAGGGGAACCCATCCTATAGGTCCAATGGCTACGTGGGCGCAAATGAAGACTATTGTTTTTGTTTGCATGTTTTTATCACGATAATTAAAATGTGCAACCAGCAGATTCATCTCTTGCTTTCCAAGCATGATTTGTTCAGCTCACACTATTGAAAGAAAAGCCAAAATTCAGCTATTGGATCTCTAAGTGAGCTCGGGGCTTGGCGACATTCTATTTATTTGCTATATAACATTTTAAATCTTATGTAACTTGCTATTATACTTTTCTGGTCCTTGAAAAAGAAAAAAAAAAAAGGTGGATATATACAGAACACCCAGAGAGAGGAGAGATGTTTCCAATCCCATAGTGGCAGGGTCCAAACCATGGTCAAGAGGACCAATAGGTAATGTTTATTTGTGCTACAATAAAGACCAATTGTCCACCTGTTAGGTTTGTAATCATTCTTTGGAAAAAAAATTAATATCGTTGCCAAAACATCGCGGTATGTAAATAGAGAGATGGGAGAAGAAGAAAGCCTTAGTCAAAATCGGAATCGTGCATGTCTGTTCTGAGGAAGCGAAAGTAAACTGATCATTTTGAAAAACCTACACGAAAGGCCCTTAACAAATAAGGTAAATACAAAGACAGGATAGCTCTTTTCTCATCCCTCCGCAGGCTTTGGACTTTTGAAGCACCGTATTACAGAGTAAATCACTGTATGAAACCAAAGCTCCGTTCTTATATAAACACCGTGATGCTGTGCTTTCGAGCTAGGATGACAGAAAACCAAGTTTGAGTATTTAAGACTCGTTCAAAGCAGTAGGAATGTACGTGTGTGGTGTGTTTGGGTCAATACTAAAGATAAGGCAATCTGCCGGAGTAGCTCCCGACTTGGCGCAGAGACGGCTTTGTGATGCTCTGGTCACCTCGGGAGGCATGTCCTCTCTTAAAACAACACTCAGTACGTTGCCCAATGCTTAGAATTATGCATAGATGTTTTTAAACGATCACAAAACGAGATGGCTGTTACCCGGCGCTCTGATTTTAGCTGGTATGCGTGGTACCACAAGTTGTACCAAACGACACGATGTTTGAGAAAAGCGTGGTCACGAGTTTACGGAAGAATTGGGAGTTTGCCGTGTCTGTGTTCTCCGCAAGATGCAAATTCTGCCCCGAATTTTCTTTCCTTTCTCAGATAGGTCTTGAACCCTGCACGGTGTTCGGCCAAATAGGAAAGGCGACTTTTCGTTAAAAATTAATTAGACAACATTACATTGTGCAGCCCTGTTTTAGGACAGGAGTGTTCTAGAACAATTTCAGTCGGTATTTGTACACACCTTTAAAAGCCGCACGCTCTTGACGAACAGAAATTAAACAAAGAGCAAATCAACGAGGCTAAAATGCATAAAGACTTGAAATTACAGTCATTTCCGTGTAACGCAGCGTGCAAGGTTAGCAGCACACCTCGTCCCGGAATGGGGGGCAAGAATGAATTCGAGTCCAAGAAGCAGCCACCTTTGCTGCGGGCGATTTGAGAAAGACACACTTTCGGGGTGAACAGCATGTAAACTTGCCAAATAAAATACAAGATGTCCAGTTACATGTGAATTTCAGATAAATGACAAGTTTGTAGAATAAGCATGTCCCAAGTATTGCATGGGCCATATTTTTACTAAAACAAACAAACAAACAAACAAAATTACTCATTGTTTATCTGAGATTCCAATTTAACTGGGCATTCTGTATTTTTATTTGCTAAATCTGGCAACCCTCACAAATGGATTATATGGCATTCTGGAAAGAGCAAAGGGGCTGGATTCATTAATGTCTGTAAGAGACATGGCCCTTTCCTTCATCCATTAGAGGAATATTCCTCCCTTCCTTCCTCTTTACCTCCCTCCCTTCCTTCCTCCTTCCCTTCTCCTTCCCTCCTTCCTACCCCCCTCCATCTTTCCCCTCCCTCCCTTCCTCCTTACCTCCCCCCTCCTTTCTCCTTCCCTTTCTCCTTCCCTCCCTCCTTCCTCCCTCCCTCCCTTCGTCCCTGTTTCCCCTCCCTGAGTCTCTTTCATCTTACAACAAACACTGCTTGTGCTTTTACTACGCACCAGCCACTCTTCAGCAATGGACGCCTAATGGGGAGCCAGTAGACCCTCCGATTATAGTAGCCAAATGTGCCGGCCCTGTGGCAAGCGCTTTACAAACATCATTTCACTTTATTCTCACAAACAGCCCTATAAGTTAGGGCTGGATTCCACCGTGTCACGGGGGAGGAAGAGGAGGCAGAGAGATTCGGGGTGAATTCCCACAATCTCGGAACCTCACTCATTCGTGATCACCTACCCAGAAGGCTATCGCTCCAGGCCACGCACCACCCTGATCCCGGGCAATAAACCAGTGACCGGGACGAGACTCTGCCTTGGAGGCTCACGGCAGACACACAGATGGGCAGCTCTGGGGTAAACGGTCAGTGGAGCACACGGGAGGGGCGTCTGCCCCATCCCGGGGTGGGGGGAGCCCAGGAGGGGAATGAATGGTGGTTTCCGAGGCTGCCCAGGATGCATCCACCGTCTCTAAGATCTGGCCCACTTGTGGGTCTATAAAATGTGGACACAGTCCTCCCGTCCTAGAAAACTCTGAGAATTAACTAGGCCTGTGCAATTCTTTCCCAGAAAGCCTGGCAACCGGTAGGTTCACAGGAAAAGTTAGTCCTCCACCGTCCCTGCTGGTTTCCACCACGTTCCTCAGCCGCACCTGCAGCATGTGGGACGCGTGGGCTCTTCCCAGGTGGCCCCGTGGAAGCCTCCACTTGCTACTTGATCATAATGATAGCAAATGACAGCAAAACTCCCACTTCCTGGCCTCTTCCACGAGCCAGGCATGGTTATTCATATCATCCTAATTTGCAAGGAGCTCCAAGCGTTTCGGGATTTGTCCAAGAGCGCACAGTAAGGGCAGAGGCGGACTCAGCCCGGGACTGCTCGACACTCCTTACCTTTTACCGCCTCTCGGCTTCTCCACCGAGAGAGTTTCAGATATTGAAACTGGGGGGGGGGGGGGGGGTGGTGCTGGAACTGGCCCGCAGGGCGAAGCAAATCTCGCTCTCTTGATTATGATTTCCTTGTCCTGTCAGGCAGTTGTACATTTGCCATATAGCGTCTAACCAAGGAATGACCCAAATTCCAGTAAAAATTCACATGTACAGTTTGGTTTTTTTGTTTTTGTTTTTTGGTTTTTTGGGGTTTTTTTTTGTTTTTTTGATCACTATCCTGACTCTCACTTGAGGGAAGCAAACTGAGAATTCAGGAACAGGGTCGGCTACAAGACTCGCGCATTTCCAACGCAGCAAGAAACAAATGTGTAGCCTGTTGGAATGCGTTCATTTCATGCAAGCGATCTGGCTCGACTCCCTCGCACATGGCTGGCCCCCCTCTCTGTTGCACTTTCCTCCTCATTGGGACCTTCGAAATCTCAATCCTGACGTGTATAATTTGGTGCTTTAATATAGAGTAACATTATTTTT